TGGCAATCTACAGAAAAGGTTTGAGGTTTGAACATTAGTAGTAGATTTCTCAACAAACAAATGATCAATGTAGACGGGTAAACAACAACAAACATCCCCTAAACTTCATATTATAGATAAGGTTATGTAGTGTAATGTGTGTTTGTTACTACATATAAAACTATGTATAAAACATTCAACAGTTACCTCCTCCCCCGCTGGTGACAGATGTGAGGAGTCGGACATTTTCTAAACGTAAATCAAACACCACGAAGGCCCGGTGAAATACATTCCTTAATAATTCATAGAAACAGGTCAACAGGGAGATTCACACCTTGTGTTTCCCTCCTGTTATTCCCTCACAGAATATTAAATCATTTTTAAACAAATGTTCTATAAATCTAGAGCAGAGGTTTTCACTCTTCTCCTTCATCTCCCACACCTAAAGACAAACTGACATACTCAAAATGTAATGTTTATGCCATTTGAAATGTTATGAAACAAGTGTTACAACCCCCTCCAAGGCCAACACCATCCCATAATGTGATCTCTCACTCTTCTGTTGCATATGTTGACACACCCACACACACACCTTACTGATAAATGACTTCCACGTTTGTTTAGGTTTGTTCAGTCCTTTGGTTTTGTTATATTGGAAATAAATCAGTCCTTTTGTTACACTTAAACTTGTCTTGTCACCCATCCTTGTTGCAGCCTATTAGCCGGGCTGTAAAGTGATAAAATAATATGCAAAAAAATGTGTGTTGATAATATTTCTAAAAAGTAATAGTATGTAAAAAAAAAAAGGGATAGTAAACAATATTGGAAAATATTTTGAAAAAAAAATCATTATACAGTATGTCAAACATATGAAAAAAGTAAAAGTATAGTATGTCGGAGAAAGTATATCGATAAATTATAAAGTATACGGTATAGTGTTATTATTTCTTATGTCGAAAAATGTCATATTATGGTTTTTCATCCAATTTCAAAAAAGTCTGATTTGAAAATTGTAAAAAAAAAGTAAAAAGTAATCATATGAAATTAATTATACTTCATTAGAGTTCATTTAGTCAATAGTTACTGTTTCCATTACTCATGTCTCTGTTTTGTATCTGGTCAACATCAGTGGTTTAGACCTGCAGAGCTCTGCTGCTACCACAGCCACAACAACACCTCCATCTTGGTTCTCAGAGATGCAACAAAAACCACCAGGTCTCAGACCACTGTGTGTGCATTCAAACACCATTAGCAAGTCTGTTTGCTGATAACAAATGATACATTCTCTGCGCGGTTTTGCTTTAAGCACGTACCTTATCTGGTCAGCATCAGAGGGTAACACCTCCAGAGCTCTGCTGCTGTTATTAACCACATTCTCAAGGTTCAAGGTTCAAGGTTCTTTATTGTCAATCTGACATAGCTACAGAGTAATTATGCAGTTGAAAATCTTATGTCACAGGCTTCTCCAACAATGCAACATAATAACATAACATAATAACAATAAGAGCAAGAGCAATACAAAAATAATAATAGTTATAAAAATGAAATAAAGTTATGATGTGGAATAGTGCAGTATGAGTCTATATACAAGTTATTGGAATGATATATATATATATTAGGTATTAGATACATACTACTGAGTAGCAGTTGAATGTTTGAAGTTGTTTCAACAGTTCAATTTTTTAACAGTCTCACTGCCCGCGGGAAGAAACTGTCTCCGAATCTTCTTGTCCTTGCCAGGATGCTGCGGTAACGTCTGCCAGACGGCAACAGAAAGAACAGTTTGTGGCTGGGGTGATGGGGGTCTTTGATAATCCGTAGTGATTTCTTCCTGAGCCGCTGGGAGTAAAGGTCCTCCATGGATGGCAGCTCCGTCCTGGTGATGTGCTGTGCAGTTTTCACCACCCTCTGTAAAGCCTTACGATCGAGGTCGGTGCAGCTGCCGTACCAGGCCGTCATGCTGCCAGTGAGGATACTCTCTATCGTGCACCTGTAGAAGTTGCAGAGTATCCTGGAATCCATTTTGAACCTCCTCAACCTGCGGAGGAAGAAGAGCCGCTGTCGAGCTTTCTTGGTGATGGTGGTGGTGTGAAGAGACCATGTCAGGTCCTCAGTGATGTGGACCCCAAGGAACCTGAAGCTTTTGACTCTCTCCACCGTAGTCCCATTGATGGCGATGGGGGCGTGTCCCTCTCCCTGCTGCTTCCTGTAGTCCACAATCAGCTCCTTTGTTTTGCTGATGTTGAGATGGAGGTTGTTCTCCTGGCACCAAGATGTCAGGTTTTCGACCTCCTCTCTGTACGCCGTCTCGTCATCGTCTGTGATCTGGCCGATGACGGTCGTGTCATCAGCAAACTTCACGATGGTGTTGGAGCTGTGTGTGGCCACGCAGTCGTGGGTGAACAGGGAGTAGAGGAGAGGGCTGAGCACGCAGCCTTGAGGGGCACCGGTGGTGAGAATCAAGGTGGAGGATGTGATATTTCCCACCCGCACTGCCTGGGGTCTGCCCGTCAGGAAGTTCAGGATCCAGTCGCAGAGGGCGCTGTTGAGTCCGAGGTCTCTGAGCTTGATGGCCAGCTTGGAGGGCACAATGGTGTTGAATGCTGAACTGTAGTCAATGAACAGCATTCTCACATATGTGTTCCTCTTCTTCGGGTCCAGGTGTGAGAGGGCAGTGTGGAGGGTGAGGGCTATGGCGTCGTCTGTGGACCTGTTTGCTCTGTAGGCAAACTGCAGGGGGTCCAGAGATTCAGGGAGGGAGGAGGTGATGAATAATTTGACTAACCGCTCAAAGCACTTCATTATGATGGAGGTGAGTGCTACTGGGCGGTAGTCGTTGGGGCAGGTGATGATTGTCTTTTTGGGGACAGGAATGATGGTGGAGTGTTTAAGACATGAACTCACAGAAACACTTCTTCAGTTCTCAGAAGAGAAATAAAGAAGCAGCAGGTCAGAGACTCTGACAGTCGAGAGCCAGAGACCGAGAGAGAAGCACGATGTCTGAATTCAGAAGGATCATAATGTCTTCCTTCCTGATGCTGCTGCTCCACTTTCCAGGTGAGGATGCAGAGAACACACTTTAAATAAAACAGCTTTAATATCACTAACGGTACTTTACTACGTACTGTTCCTTTAACTGAGAATGATGAGTTGTGTTTGTAACGTGGTGACTTTAGTGAACTCTGTCTGTGTTTTTCAACAGCAGCAAATGGGAAATATCTCTCCTTCACTGTCAGAGATGGAGGTGAAGTCACTTTGCTTTGTGACAATGTGATACATGATCAGGATGAGTGTAACAGTACTACCTGGCTCTTCAGTGGTTCAAGAGATTCAGCAGCAGTAGAGCTGGTTGAACATGGGGAGATTAAAGAAGAAGCCAAAGCTAAATCAGACAGACTGAGAGTTACAGAGAAATGTTCTCTGGTTATAAAGAAGGTCACAGAGGAGGATGGTGGTCTTTACATCTGCAGACAGTTCAGATCAGGACAACAACAAGGTCCAGACTTTGATGTTGATCTGTCTGTTGTTACCAGTGAGTATTTACATCATAATGTTTTCAAACTGTCTGGTTAAAACAATACACTGACGCATTATAATAATTGTGATTACAGTGATGAAGTTAATGTTACTCTTGTTGTCTTTCTCTCACAATATCTCCATCTTCAGTGACTGAACATCAGGACAATGATGAGGTGACATTAATCTGCTCTGTGTCGACATATGGAGGGTGTATACACAAAGTGAAGTGGCTGCTTCAGGGTCCAGATTTGGTTAAAGATCACAGAGACATAAAGACATCACAGTCTTCCTGCTCTGCCTCTGTGACATTTCTGACTTCTAATTTTAGTTACACACCAAGGTTTGAGTTGTTTACTTGTAATGTAACTGATGATTATACGGAAGGAGTACTTCTGTTTCTCTTCAGCCGTCAGTCCTCAGGTGAGAACATGATGATCTGTTTAAGTTACTTCAATCTGACATGAATAATCACCTTAATTATGTGTTTGTTTTACAGAAGTTGCAGACTAAATAGTTTGTTGAGTTGTGTTTATTTGTTTAGGTGAGGACACAACACCAGCAACAACAACAACAACAACAAAAACAACAACAACAACAGCTAAAAACAACTTAAACTCAGGTAAGGTCTAAAGTTATTTACGTGTAAAGTGTTTGATGGTTACAGAACCTCAGCTGTTTCTCTTCAGTCCTCAGGTGAGAATATGACGAGCTGTTTACAATCATTCATCCTGAAATGAATAATTACATAAAATATGTTTGTAAAGCTCAGGTTTTAATATTTCTAGCATCATTCTGTCATGATAGCGCTTAAAATGTTCTTCATAACTGTACAGCATTGTGTTATTTTGTTGATTCAGAGTTTAAAGACAAAGAGATAGAAACCTCTGAGTATATGTAACTCTTGTAACTTCTCTCTTCCAGGTCGGTGGTGGTGGATCATCGTTGTGATAGTGGGTGTTGCAGCACTCACAATAATCACTGTGGCTGTCATCAGACGGAAGAGGACTCAAGGTGAGGACATTCACACATTATACTTTACAAACAACAAGCTTTTGATGCACATGGATTTTAACTATGGAAGTTAAAATCAACTCTATTTTTAACTCTGTTTAGGGAATGAAACGCAGACGGATGACAACGTGGTGAGTTTAAACATTTTGTTATTCACTTTTCGTTTTGAATTTAACCATCAAAGTTGATCTTACTTTTTTTAAACAGAAAGTAGGAGTTTCTGAGGCAGCAAGATCAAAATGTGATTTAAATAACAACCGCCTCAAAATGACCACAGGGTTAAAGGTGTAATAATGGCAGTATTTTCTTTAGTCTGTTGCCATTAGTTACAATGCAGGGATGTTGAATACGATGAAACCTGTACAGCAACTAGAATTACATTAATTAGGAATAAAAGTAGGTCACATTAACGCTGCATGTTACATTGCAGATTTTATGTTTAGTTCTCTGCAACAATAATAATTAATAATCATAATGTATTTTATGTGTAGGCTGATCCTGAAGATGGTGCTTCCTACACCTCCGTCAGCTACACCAGTACGACCAGCAGTAAAGCCAGGGTAAGCTGTCTCATTGATTACACAAGGTGATGCTACAGTCTTTTTCGATTGCTAAAACAAATGTTTTGAAAGCTGGGATTATTTTGTCAAAACACTAAACACAATTCACAAAACCACACACACAAAGGGCAAAACACCTCATGTATCCTGCAAAATGAAGCACTGCACTCACAACTACATAAACCAAAACCAAACGTTTGCACCAAATGGCACACACTTCACTCATAGTACAAGACTCTTTGTCCAACCGACTACACACTGTGGTGCTTTATCTCAAGCACACTCCTCTTTATGGCTTTCTTTATGTAGAGAATTCTGCATTTAAAGAATGTTCAAGTCTAAAACAACATGTGCAGAAACACATACTGTTGTTATACTTTAGTTTTTCTCCAAAACAAATTGGTGCAGCATTCATGCACAACACATAGTAACAGTTGTGTAAACTAAAATGATGCCTCTGTCAAATACAGTAAATGGAAAGGAACACTTTCAGGAAAAATAAATACAAAACTATCTTTACAAAAAACAGAGGAAAGAAAAATACTCAGCATTTCACCACCTCAGTGGGTCTGGCCTCAGCTCCTCATCAACCTGCAGAAGAAGCATCACCTGCAGCCTGACGGTCAAACAAGCTTCAACCGTTATTCTGCAAATAACTCTTCAACTGACTTCAGTTCATCCTCCCTCTCTCTCTCATCCTCCCTCTACCTCTTCCTGTTGCTGCTATTTATCCATGTTTGTTGTAAAAAAGTTCTTACATGAGGCCATTTTCTAGTACTTACACCCTGATTGATGAGTCGACAATAAAGCAGTTTGGTGCTTATGTTCATTTGGCACGTGAATTTGTTAATTGGTTCATGTGTGTATCATTTTGAAGGGCAGTGTTTTGCAAATGGCAAACAAGTGAATATCTCAGATTTCTGTGTCTTACTCAGAGAGTGTTTTGCAAAAAGTGTCAAGTTGAATTGCAAATAGGGTGCAGAGCTGAAAATGTGTTTAGAGTTTTGGAGATTTGAGCTGAGGTTTTGCTCTTTGAGTGTGAGATGAAATCATTTTGCTTTATGTGAGATTGTAGTGTGATAGCAACTGAAAAAAACTGTAATAAAGGAAGAATCTATTGATATGATTTAGAATCTAAGCATTATATAGTTTTAGTGGATGTAAATGGTCTGTAAAGGCAACAATCCCTGTGTTTTCTCTCCCACACACTAACCTAATCCCTTTTCTTTCCCTGCAGGCTCATGATGATGAAGATGATGCACTGACCTACAGCACTGTGACGTATCGTCCGCACGGTTCCGTCGCGTTGAAGCTTGCCGGTGGGCGTGTCTGGTGCGCGACCAACAACCAATCACATTACTGTAATCTCCCGCCCCGGTCACACAAGCACGCAGTTTGATTGGCTAGCGCTTGTACTAGCATATGATTTGATTGGCTGGCGCTTCCGTCGACGCTTGAAAAGTTGAACTTTTCTCAACTTTTGAAGTGAGCAATGGAGGCAAAGCGACGGAACCACAATGCAGTTTGTCAAAGCTTGACGTCACCCCATTCAAAGTGAATGGGAAGCGTCTCCGTTGAAGCACGCGACGGAACCATGTGGACGTACCGTGAGAGCTCCCTCCTCTTCCTCTGCTGCATCCGCTGATCCCAGCCTCCTCTACGCCACAGTCAACAAACATTTTAAACTATGGCACAATTGTTATAACCATATTACAAAGGCAAAGCGAGCAGAGTTATAATAAGATTTATATTGACCAGGTTTTTGCTTTTTATGGCTTAATTGCATCAAAGTGAGAGGACAGTAAAACATGTGAGTCCCTCTAGAGGTGGATCGTGAGAAAGGGGCAGACATGTTGGAGATTTACTGTATTCTTAATACTTACAGTGTGGGCATAATGAAGGTTTTATTCAATTGATTCTGGCTTTTTTATTACTGTTTTAAAGAGTATTGCTTTTTCTTCTGCACATTTGATTGTTTTGTATTTTACTAAATAAAGTGACCTATTAGCCTTACAAGAGAGCAGGTGTATTTATTTGTATGGTTTTTCCTAATATGACAGTCTCAAAACATCAGTTACATTCTTAAAGTAAGATAAGATAAGATAAGATAAGATCAGCAACAGGGTAAGAATGAAAAACAGGACAGAACAGATTCACACAGAATAATACAATTAAAGATAAAATAAAAAATAAAAAGAGAGTGGGGAGAGGTTAAATTGTTAAAATTCTGATAATTAATAGAAATGTGATAGTCATGATCAGGGCTGATATTGGATACAAATGTAAAATTAAAAAATTAAAAATAGCATCAATAAATCGTTTTTTATAGAAGTTTTTAGAATAGGCATTTCTGACATTTTCTTTTTACCAAAACAAATTTTTCATTTAAAAGTGTGTCACTTCAAAAAGCAATGTTGGTGCTAGTTATTGAAATAATATACAGAACATAATAACATATTTGTGTGTTTCCTCCAACAACAGACTGTAAATGATGATGAAGATGATGAAGATGCTGAGATGTCGTGTAAATCTACAGAAAAGGTTTGAACGTTTTTTATTCAAAGTAGTAGATTTCTCAACAAACAAATGATCAATGTAGACGGATAGACAACAAGAAACATCCCCTAAACTTCATATTATAGATAAGTTTATGTAGTGTAATGTGTGTTTGTTACTACATATAAAACTATGTATAAAACATTCAACAGTTACCTCCTCCCCCGCTGGTGACAGATGTGAGGAGTCGGACATTTTCTAAACGTAAATCAAACACCACGAAGGCCCGGTGAAATACATTCCATAGTAATTCATAGAAACAGGTCAACAGGGAGATTCACATCGTGTGTTTCCCTCCTGTTATTCCCTCACAGAATATTAAATCATTTTTAAACAAATGTTCTATAAATCTAGAGCAGAGGTTTTCACTCTTCTTCTTCTCCATCATCTCCCACACCTAAAGACAAACTGACACACTCAAAATGTAATGTTTATGCCATTTGAAATGTTATAAAACAAGTGTTACAACCCCCTCCAAGGCCAACACCATCCCATAATGTGATCTCTCCCTCTTCTGTTGCACATGTTGACACACCCACACACACATTACTGATAAATGACTTCCACGTTTGTTTAGGTTTGTTCAGTCCTTTGGTTTTGTTATATTGGAAATAAATCAGTGCTTTTGTTACACTTAAACTTGTCTTGGCACCCATCCTTGTTGCAGCCTATTAGCCGGGCTGTAAAGTGATAAAATAATATGCAAAAAATGTTGTGTTGATAATATTTCTAAAAAGTAATAGTATGTCAAAAAAAAGGGATAGTAAACAATATTGGAAAATATTTTGAAAAAAAAATCATTATACAGTATGTCAAACATATGAAAAAACTAAAAGTATAGTATGTCGGAGAAAGTATATCGATAAATTATAAAGTATACGGTATAGTGTTATTATTTCTTATGTCGAAAAATGTCATATTATGGTTTTTCATCCAATTTATAAAAAGTCTGATTTGAAAATTGTAAAAAAAAAGTAAAAAGTAATCATATGAAATTAATTATACTTCATTAGAGTTCATTTAGTCAATAGTTACTGTTTCCATTACTCATGTCTCTGTTTTGTATCTGGTCAACATCAATGGTTTAGACCTGCAGAGCTCTGCTGCTGCTGCTACCACAGCCACAACACAACCTCCATCTTGGTTCTCAGAGGTGCAAGAAAAACCACCAGGTCTCAGACCACTGTGTGTGCATTCAAACACCATTAGCATGCCTGTTTGCTGATAACAAATGATACATTCTCTGCGCGGTTTTGCTTTAAGCACGTACCTTATCTGGTCAGCATCAGAGGGAAAAACCTCCAGACCCTCTGCTGCTGTTATTAACCACATTCTCACAGAAACACTTCTCCTTCAGTTCTCAGAAGAGAAATAAAGAAGCAGCAGGTCAGAGACTCTGACAGTCGAGAGCCAGAGACCGAGAGAGAAGCACGATGTCTGAATTCAGAAGGATCATGATGTCTTCATTCCTGATGCTGCTGCTCCACTTTACAGGTGAGGATGCAGAGAACACACTTTAAATAAAACAGCTTTAATATCACTAACGGTACTTTACTACGTACTGTTCCTTTAACTGAGAGTGATGAGTTGTGTTTGTAACGTGGTGACTTTAGTGAACTCTGTCTGTGTTTTTCAACAGCAGCAAATGGGAAATATTCCTTCTTGAATGTCAGAGATGGAGGTGAAGCCACTTTTCCTTGTGACAATGTGATACATAATCAGGATGAGTGTAACAGTACTGCCTGGTACTTCAGTGGTTCAAGAGGTTCAGCAGCAGTAGAGCTGGTTGAACATGGGGAGATTATAGAACAAGCCAAAGCTAAATCAGACAGACTGAGAGTTACAGAGAAATGTTCTCTGGTTATAAAGAAGGTCACAGAGGAGGATGCTGGGCTTTACACCTGCAGACAGTTCAGATCAGGAGGACAACAGGGTTCAGGCTCTCCTGTTTATCTGTCTGTTGTTACCAGTGAGTATTTACATCATAATGTTTTCAAACTGTCTGGTTAAAACAATATACTGAAGCATTACAATAATTGTGATTACAGTGATGAAGTTAATGTTACTCTTGGTGTCTTTCTCTCACAATATCTCCATCTTCAGTGACTGAACATCAGGACAATAATGAGGTGACGTTACGCTGCTCTGTGACGAGACGTGGAGACTGTAGACTCACAGTGAAGTGGCTGTTTCAGGGTCGAGATGTGGATAAAGATCACAGAGAGATAAAGACATCACAGTCTTCCTGCTCTGCCTCTGTGACATTTCTGACTTCTCTTTTTAGTTACACAACAAGGTCTAAGTTGTTTACTTGTGCAGTAAGAGATGGTTACACGAGAGAAGTACATCTGTTTCTCTTCAGCCCTCAGTCCTCAGGTGAGAACATGTTGATCTTGTGTTGATAATATTTCTAAAAAGTAATGGTATGTCAAAAAAAAGGGATAGTAAACAATATTGGAAAATATTTTGAAAAAAAATCATTATACAGTATGTCAAACATATGAAAAAAGTAAAAGTATAGTATGTCGGAGAAAGTATATCGATAAATTATAAAGTATACGGTATACTGTTATTTTTATTATGTCGAAAAATGTCATATTATGGTTTTTCATCCAATTTAAAAAAGTCTGATTTGAAAATTGTAAAAAAAAAGTAAAAAGTAATCATATGAAATTAATTATACTTCATTAGAGTTCATTTAGTCAATAGTTACTGTTTCCATTACTCATGTCTCTGTTTTGTATCTGGTCAACATCAATGGTTTAGACCTGCAGAGCTCTGCTGCTGCTGCTACCACAGCCACAACAAAACCTCCATCTTGGTTCTCAGAGATGCAAGAAAAACCACCAGGTCTCAGACCACTGTGTGTGCATTCAAACACCATTGGCAAGTCTGTTTGCTGATAACAAATGATACATTCTCTGCGCGGTTTTGCTTTAAGCACGTACCTTATCTGGTCAGCAACAGAGAGAAAAACCTCCAGACCTCTGCTGCTGTTATTAACCACATTATACACTTTAAATAAAACAGCTTTAATATCACTAACGGTACTTTACTACGTACTGTTCCTTTAACTGAGAGTGATGAGTTGTGTTTGTAACGTGGTGAGTTTAGTGAACTCTGTCTGTGTTTTTCAACAGCAGCAAATGGGAAACCTTCCTCCTTCACGGTCAGAGTTGGAGATGAAGTCACTTTGCCTTGTGACAATGTGATACATGATCAGGCTGAGTGTGAGAGTACTATCTGGCTCTTCAGGGATTTAAGTAGCTCAACAGCAGTAGAGCTGATTAATCTTGGGCAGATTGGTAAAAAAGCCAAAGCTAAATCAGACAGACTGAGAGTTACAGAGAAATGTTCTCTGGTTATAAAGAAGGTCACAGAGGACGATGCTGGGCTATACCTATGTAGACTGATCAGATCAGGAGAACAACAAGGTCCAGACTCTGATGTTGATCTGTCTGTTGTTAACAGTGAGTATTTACATTATAATGTTTCCAAATAGTCTTCTTAAAACAATACACTGAAACATAACAATAATAATGATTACAGGGATGATGTTAATGTTACTCTTGTTGTCTTTCTCTCACAATATCTCCATCTTCAGTGACTGAACATCAGGACAATGATGAGGTGACGTTACGCTGCTCTGTGTCAAGATATAGATGGTGTACATACTCAGTGAAGTGGCTGCTTCAGGGTCAAGATGTGGTTAAAGATCACAGAGACATAAAGACATCACAGTCTTCCTGCTCTGCTTCTGTGACATTTCTGACTTCTCATTTTAGTAACACATCACGGTTTGAGTTGTTTACTTGTAATGTAACTGATGATTACACTGAAGAAGTACATCTGTTTCTCTTCAATCCTCAGTCCTCAGGTGAGAACATGATGAGCTGTTTAAGTTACTTCAATCTGACATGAATAATCACCCTAAATATTTGTTTGTTTTACAGAGGTTGCTGACTAAATAGTTTGTCGAGTTGTGTTTATTTGTTTAGGTGAGGACACAAAACCAGCAACAACAACAACAACAACAACAACAACAACAACAACAACAACAACAACAGCTAAACCCAACTTAAAAGCAGGTAAGGTTTAAAGTGATTTACTTGTAAAGTGTTTGATGGTTACAGGACAGAACACCAGCTGTTTCTCTTCAGTCCTCAGGTGATGTTGTTGATTCAGAGTTTAAAGACAAAGAGATAGAAACCTCTGAGTATATGTAACTCTTGTAACTTCTCTCTTCCAGGTTGGTGGTGGTGGATCATCGTTGTGATAGTGGGTGTTGCAGCACTCACAATAATCACTGTGGCTGTCATCAGACGGAAGAGGACTCAAGGTGAGGACATTCACACATTATACTTTACAAACAACAAGCTTTTGATGAATATGGATTTTAACCCAAGTTTAATTTATTTTGTATTCTTTTGAAGGGAATGAAACGCAGACGGATGACAACGTGGTGAGATAAAACATTTTGTTATTCACTTTTCATTTTGAATTTAACCATCAAAGTTGATCTTTGAGACGACTCTTTAAAGTAGAGACACTACATACTGATATACACCTGAACATCAGCAGGAGAGGACTCTTTAAAGTAGAGACACTACATACTGATATACACCTGAACATCAGCAGGAGAGGACTCTTTAAAGTAGAGACACTACATACTGATATACACCTGAACATCAGCAGGAGAGGACTCTTTAAAGTAGAGACACTACATACTGATATACACCTGAACATCAGCAGGAGAGGACTCTTTAAAGTAGAGACACTACATACTGATATACACCTGAACATCAGCAGGAGAGGACTCTTTAAAGTAGAGACACTACATACTGATATACACCTTACCATCAGCAGGAGAGGACTCTTTAAAGTAGAGACACTACATACTGATATACACCTGAACATCAGCAGGAGAGAACTCTTTAAAGTAGAGACACTACATACTGATATACACCTGAACATCAGCAGGAGAGAACTCTTTAAAGTAGAGACACTACATACTGATATACACCTGAACATCAGCAGGAGAGAACTATTTAAAGTAGAGACACTACATACTGATATACACCTGAACTTCAGCAGGAGAGGACTCTTTAAAGTAGAGACACTACATACTGATATACACCTGAACATCAGCAGGAGAGAACTCTTTAAAGTAGAGACACTACATACTGATATACACCTGAACATCAGCAGGAGAGGACTCTTTAAAGTAGAGACACTACATACTGATATACACCTGAACTTCAGCAGGAGAGGACTCTTTAAAGTAGAGACACTACATACTGATATACACCTGAACATCAGCAGGAGAGAACTATTTAAAGTAGAGACACTACATACTGATATACACCTGAACTTCAGCAGGAGAGGACTCTTTAAAGTAGAGACACTACACTGATATATACCTGAACATCAGCAGGAGAGGACTCTTTAAAGTAGAGACACTACATACTGACATACACCTGGACATCAGCAGGAGAGGACTCTTTAAAGTAGAGACACTACATACTGATACACCTGAAAATCAGCAGGAGAGGACTCTTTAAAGTAGAGACACTACATACTGATACAACTGAACATCAGCAGGAGAGGACTCTTTAAAGTAGAGACACTACATACTGATATACACCTGAACATCAGCAAGAGAGGACTCTTTAAAGTAGAGACACTACATACTGATATACACCTGGACATCAGCAGGAGAGGACTCTTTAAAGTAGAGACACTACATACTGATATACACCTGAACATCAGCAGGAGAGAACTCTTTACAGTAGAGACACTACATACTGATATACACCTGAACATCAGCAGGAGAGGACTCTTTAAAGTAGAAACACTACATACTGATATACACCTGAATATCAGCAGGAGAGGACTCTTTAAAGTAGAGACACTACATACTGATATACACCTGAACATCAGCAGGAGAGAACTCTTTAAAGTAGAGACACTACATACTGACATACACCTGGACATCAGCAGGAGAGGACTCTTTAAAGTAGAGACAATACATACTGATACACCTGAACATCAGCAGGAGAGGACTCTTTAAAGTAGAGACACTACATACTGATAAACACCTGAACATCAGCAGGAGAGGACTCTTTAAAGTAGAGACACTACATACTGACATACACCTGGACATCAGCAGGAGAGGACTCTTTAAAGTAGAGACACTACATACTGATACACCTGAACATCAGCAGGAGAGGACTCTTTAAAGTAGAGACACTACATACTGATATACACCTGAACATCAGCAGGAGAGGACTCTTTAAAGTAGAGACACTACATACTGATATACACCTGAACTTTCTGTATAATCCCTTTTCTTTCCCTGCAGGCTCATGATGATGAAGATGATGCACTGACCTACAGCACTGTGACGTATCGTCCACATGGTTCCGTCGCGTTGAAGCTTATCGGTGGGCGTGTCTGGCGTGCGACCAACAACCAATCACATAAATCTCCCGCCCCGGAGACACAAGCACGCGGTTTGATTGGCTAGCGCTTGTACTGGCATATGATTTGATTGGCTGACGCTTCCGTTGACGTTTGAAAAGTTGAACTTTTCTCAACTTTCAAAGCGACGCGACGGAACCACAATGCAGTTCGGCGAAGCCTCCACTGATCCCAGCCTCCTCTACGCCACCGTCAACAAACCAAAAAAATAATACAGTTTAATGCTGTATTTGAACAATTGTTATAACCATATTACAAAGGCAAAGCGAGCAGAGTTATAATAAGATTTATATTGACCATGTTTTTGCTTTTTTTGGCTTAATTACATCAAAGTGAGAGTACAACAAAACATGTGAGTCCCTCTAGAGGTGGATCGTGAGAAAGGGGCAGACATGTTGGAGATTTACTGTATTCTTAATACTTACAATGTGGGCATAATGAAGGTTTTATTAAATTGATTCTGGCTTTTTTATTACTGTTTTAAAGAGTATTGCTTTTTCTTCTGCACATTTGACTGTTTTGTATTTTACTAAATAAAGTCACCTATTAACCTTTCAAGAGTGCAGGTGTATTTCCTTGTATGGGTTTTCCTAATATGACATTCTCAAAACATCAGGTAAGTTCTTAAAGTAAGATAAGATAAGATGGACCTTTATTAATCGCCGTGGGGAAATTCAGTAGTTTAACAGCAACAGGTTAAGAATGAAAAACAGGACAGAACAGATTCACACAGATTAATACAATTAAAGATAAAATCAAAGATAAAAAGAGGGGGGAGAGGTTAAATTGTTAAAATTCTGATAATTAATACACATTTGATTGTCATGATCAGGACTGATGTTGGATAAAAATTTAAAATTTAAAATAGCATCAATAAATCGTTTTTTTATAGAAGTTTTTGGAATAGACATTTTTGACCTTTTTTTTTTAACAAAAACTGTTTTTCCATTTAAAAGTGTGTCACTTCAAAAAGCAATGTTGGTGCTAGTTATTGAAATAACATACAGAAAATAATAACATATTTGTGTGTTTCCTCCAACAACAGACTGTAAATGATGATAAAGATGATGAAGATGATGAAGATGATGAAGATGCTGAGATGCCGTGGCAATCTACAGAAAAGGTTTGAGGTTTGAACATTAGTAGTAGATTTCTCAACAAACAAATGATCAATGTAGACGGGTAAACAACAACAAACATCCCTTAAACTTCATATTATAGATAAGGTTATGTAGTGTAATGTGTGTTTGTTACTACATATAAAACTATGTATAAAACATTCAACAGTTACCTCCTCTCCCGCTGGTGACAGATGTGAGGAGTCGGACATTTTCTCAACGTAAATCAAACACCACGAAGCCCCGGTGAAATAAATTCCTTAATAATTCATAGAAACAGGTCAACAGGGAGATTCACACCTTGTGTTTCCCTCCTGTTATTCCCTCACAGAATATTAAATCATTTTTAAACAAATGTTCTATAAATCTAGAGCAGAGGTTTTCACTCTTCTTCTTCTCCATCATCTCCCACACCTAAAGACAAACTGACACACTCAAAATGTAATGTTTATGCCATTTGAAATGTTATAAAACAAGTGTTACGACCCCCTCCAAGGCCAACAACATCCCATAATGTGATCTCTCACTCTTCTGTTGCACATGTTGACACACCCACACACACACCTTACTGATAAATGACTTCCACGTCTGTTTAGGTTTGTTCAGTCCTTTGGTTTTGTTATATTGTAAATAAATCAGTCCTTTTGTTACACTTAAACTTCTCTTGTCACCCATCCTTGTTGCAGCCTATTAGCCGGGCTGTAAAGTGATAAAATAATATGCAAAAAAATTTGTGTTGATAATATTTCTAAAAAGTAATGGTATGTCAAAAAAAAGGGATAGTAAACAATATTGGAAAATATTTTGAAAAAAAAATCATTATACAGTATGTCAAACATGAAAAAAATAAAAGCATAGTATGTCGGAGAAAGTATATCGATAAATTATAAAGTATACGGTATAGTGTTATTATTTCTTATGTTGAAAAATGTCATATTATGGTTTTTCATCCAATTAAAAAAAAGACTGATTTGAAAATTGTAAAAAAAAAGTAAAAAGTAATCATATGAAATTATTTATACTTCATTAGAGTTCATTTAGACAATAGTTACTGTTTCCATTACTCATGTCTCTGTTTTGTATCTGGTCAACATCAGTGGTTTAGACCTGCAGAGCTCTGCTGCTGCTGCTACCACAGCCACAACAAAACCTCCATCTTGGTTCTCAGAGATGCAAGAAAAACCACCAGGTCTCAGACCACTGTGTGTGCATTCAAACACCATTAGCATGTCTGTTTGCTGATAACAAATGATACATTCTCTGTACGGTTTTGCTTTAAGCACGTACCTTATCTGGTCAGCATCAGAGGGAAAAACCTCCAGACCTCTGCTGCTGTTATTAACCACATTCTCACAGAAACACTTCTTCAGTTCTCAGAAGAGAAATAAAGAAGCAGCCGGTCAGAGACTCTGACAGTCGAGAGCCAGAGACCGAGAGAGAAGCACGATGTCTGAATTCAGAAGGATCATGATGTCTTCATTCCTGATGCTGCTGCTCCACTTTACAGGTGAGGATGCAGAGAACACACTTTAAATAAAACAGCTTTAATATCACTAATGGTGCTTTACTACGTACTGTTCCTTTAACTGAGAGTGATGAGTTGTGTTTGTAACGTGGTGACTTTAGTGAACTCTGTCTGTGTTTTTCAACAGCAGCAAATGGGAAATATTCCTTCTTGAATGTCAGAGATGGAGGTGAAGCCACTTTTCCTTGTGACAATGTGATACATAATCAGGATGAGTGTAACAGTACTGCCTGGTACTTCAGTGGTTCAAGAGGTTCAGCAGCAGTAGAGCTGGTTGAACATGGGGAGATTATAGAACAAGCCAAAGCTAAATCAGACAGACTGAGAGTTACAGAGAAATGTTCTCTGGTTATAAAGAAGGTCACAGAGGAGGATGCTGGGCTTTACACCTGCAGACAGTTCAGATCAGGAGGACAACAGGGTTCAGGCTCTCCTGTTTATCTGTCTGTTGTTACCAGTGAGTATTTACATCATAATGTTTTCAAACTGTCTGGTTAAAACAATATACTGAAGCATTACAATAATTGTGATTACAGTGATGAAGGTAATGTTACTCTTGGTGTCTTTCTCTCACAATATCTCCATCTTCAGTGACTGAACATCAGGACAATAATGAGGTGACGTTACGCTGCTCTGTGACGAGACGTGGAGACTGTAGACTCACAGTGAAGTGGCTGTTTCAGGGTCGAGATGTGGATAAAGATCACAGAGAGATAAAGACATCACAGTCTTCCTGCTCTGCCTCTGTGACATTTCTGACTTCTCTTTTTAGTTACACAACAAGGTCTAAGTTGTTTACTTGTGCAGTAAGAGATGGTTACACGAGAGAAGTACATCTGTTTCTCTTCAGCCCTCAGTCCTCAGGTGAGAACATGTTGATCTTGTGTTGATAATATTTCTAAAAAGTAATGGTATGTCAAAAAAAAGGGATAGTAAACAATATTGGAAAATATTTTGAAAAAAAATCATTATACAGTATGTCAAACATATGAAAAAAGTAAAAGTATAGTATGTCGGAGAAAGTATATCGATAAATTATAAAGTATACGGTATACTGTTATTTTTTATTATGTCGAAAAATGTCATATTATGGTTTTTCATCCAATTTAAAAAAGTCTGATTTGAAAATTGTAAAAAAAAAGTAAAAAGTAATCATATGAAATTAATTATACTTCATTAGAGTTCATTTAGTCAATAGTTACTGTTTCCATTACTCATGTCTCTGTTTTGTATCTGGTCAACATCAATGGTTTAGACCTGCAGAGCTCTGCTGCTGCTGCTACCACAGCCACAACAAAACCTCCATCTTGGTTCTCAGAGATGCAAGAAAAACCACCAGGTCTCAGACCACTGTGTGTGCATTCAAACACCATTGGCAAGTCTGTTTGCTGATAACAAATGATACATTCTCTGCGCGGTTTTGCTTTAAGCACGTACCTTATCTGGTCAGCAACAGAGAGAAAAACCTCCAGACCTCTGCTGCTGTTATTAACCACATTATACACTTTAAATAAAACAGCTTTAATATCACTAACGGTACTTTACTACGTACTGTTCCTTTAACTGAGAGTGATGAGTTGTGTTTGTAACGTGGTGAGTTTAGTGAACTCTGTCTGTGTTTTTCAACAGCAGCAAATGGGAAACCTTCCTCCTTCACGGTCAGAGTTGGAGATGAAGTCACTTTGCCTTGTGACAATGTGATACATGATCAGGCTGAGTGTGAGAGTACTATCTGGCTCTTCAGGGATTTAAGTAGCTCAACAGCAGTAGAGCTGATTAATCTTGGGCAGATTGGTAAAAAAGCCAAAGCTAAATCAGACAGACTGAGAGTTACAGAGAAATGTTCTCTGGTTATAAAGAAGGTCACAGAGGACGATGCTGGGCTATACCTATGTAGACTGATCAGATCAGGAGAACAACAAGGTCCAGACTCTGATGTTGATCTGTCTGTTGTTAACAGTGAGTATTTACATTATAATGTTTCCAAATAGTCTTCTTAAAACAATACACTGAAACATAACAATAATAATGATTACAGGGATGATGTTAATGTTACTCTTGTTGTCTTTCTCTCACAATATCTCCATCTTCAGTGACTGAACATCAGGACAATGATGAGGTGACGTTACGCTGCTCTGTGTCAAGATATAGATGGTGTACATACTCAGTGAAGTGGCTGCTTCAGGGTCAAGATGTGGTTAAAGATCACAGAGACATAAAGACATCACAGTCTCTCTGCTCTGCTTCTGTGACATTTCTGACTTCTCATTTTAGTAACACACCAAGGTTTGAGTTGTTTACTTGTAATGTAACTGATGATTACACTGAAGAAGTACATCTGTTTCTCTTCAATCCTCAGTCCTCAGGTGAGAACATGATGAGCTGTTTAAGTTACTTCAATCTGACATGAATAATCACCCTAAATATTTGTTTGTTTTACAGAGGTTGCTGACTAAATAGTTTGTCGAGTTGTGTTTATTTGTTTAGGTGAGGACACAAAACCAGCAACAACAACAACAACAACAACAACAACAACAACAGCTAAACCCAACTTAAAAGCAGGTAAGGTTTAAAGTGATTTACTTGTAAAGTGTTTGATGGTTACAGGACAGAACACCAGCTGTTTCTCTTCAGTCCTCAGGTGATGTTGTTGATTCAGAGTTTAAAGACAAAGAGATAGAAACCTCTGAGTATATGTAACTCTTGTAACTTCTCTCTTCCAGGTTGGTGGTGGTGGATCATCGTTGTGATAGTGGATGTTGCAGCACTCACAATAATCACTGTGGCTGTCATCAGACGGAAGAGGACTCAAGGTGAGGACATTCACACATTATACTTTATGAACAAGAAGCTTTTGATGAACTTGGATTTTAACCCAAGTCTAATTTATTTGTTATTCTTTTTAGGGACTGATACGCAGACGGATGACAACGTGGTGGGTTCAAACATTTTGTTATTATAAAAATGTCAACACACAAAACAGTCTCAAAATGACCACAGGGTTAAAGGTCTAATAATGGCAGTACTTTATTAGGACTGTTGCCATTGATTACAATGCATGGATGTTGAATACGATGAAACCTGTACAGCAACTAGTATTACATGAAATAGGAGTTAAAGTAGGTCACATTAACGCTGCATGTTATGGAGCAGATTTTATGTTTATTTCACTGCAACAATAATCATTAATAATATTAATACATTTTATTTGTGTAGGCTGATCCTGAAGATGGTGCTTCCTACGCCTCCATCAGCTACACCAGGAAGAGCAGCAGGAAAGCCAGGGTAAGATGTATGTTGGTTATACTGATAATGTTAATAAAGGAAGAATCTATTGTTATGATTTAGAATCAAAGCATTATATAGTTTTAGTGCATGTAAATGGTCTGTAAAGGCATTTTAATGTATAGATTAACATTTGTGCCTGAAACGCCTCCATTGGACTCCTTTGTTTACTTCTGGAACATAGAGACATCACTATGTAACACCCAAACTCCTATTGGCTAGCACTCCAACACATTGATCGTTATAGGCTCGTAATCGTAAGGGGCGGGACATCTCTAAGCGGTTGACCAATCACAACAGAGCCGGCCAGCTAACCAATCAGAGCAGACTGGGCTCTGGTTTCAGACAGAGGGTGAAAAGAGGTGCTGCACTACATACTGATATACACCTGAACATCAGCAGGAGAGGGCTCTTTAAAGTAGAGACACTACATACTGATATACACCTGAACATCAGCAGGAGAGGACTCTTTAAAGTAGAGACACTACATACTGATATACACCTGAACATCAGCAGGAGAGGACTCTTTAAAGTAGAGAAACTACATACTGATATACACCTGAACATCAGCAGGAGAGGACTCTTTAAAGTAGAGACACTACATACTGATATACACCTGAACATCAGCAGGAGAGGACTCTTTAAAGTAGAGACACTACATACTGATATACACCTGAACATCAGCAGGAGAGGACTCTTTAAAGTAGAGACACTACATACTGATATACACCTGAACATCAGCAGGAGAGGACTCTTTAAAGTAGAGACACTACATACTGATATACATCTGAACATCAGCAGGAGAGGACTCTTTAAAGTAGAGACACTACATACTGATATACACCTGAACATCAGCAGGAGAGGACTCTTTAAAGTAGAGACACTACATACTGATATACACCTGAACTTCCTGTCTAATCCATTTTCTTTGCCTGCAGGCTCATGATGATGAAGATGATGATGATGGTGATGAAGATGAAGCAGTGACCTACAGCACTGTGAGAGCTCCCTCCTCTTCCTCTGCTGCCTCTCTTGATCCTAGCCTCCTCTACGCCACCGTCAACAAACCAACAAAATAATACAGTTTAATCCTGTATTTTAAACTATGGCACAATTGTTATAACCATATTACAAAGGCAAAGCGAGCAGAGTTACAATAAGAATTATATTGACCAGGTTTTTGCTTTTTTTGGCTTAATAGCATCAAAGTGAGAGGACAGCAAAACATGTGAGTCCCTCTAGAGGTGGATCGTGAAAAAGGTGCAGACATGTTGGAGATTTACTGTATTCTTAATACTTACAGCGTGGGCATAATGAAGGTTTTTCTGGCTTTTTTATTACTGTTTTAAAGAGTATTGCTTTTTCTTCTGCACATTTGACTGTTTTGTATTTTACTAAATAAAGTGACCTATTAGCCTTTCAAGAGCGCAGGTGTATTTCCTTGTATGGTTTTTACTAATATGACATTCTCAAAACATCAGATAAGTTCTTAAAGTAAGATAAGATAAGATAAGATAAGATGAGATAAGATGGACCTTTATAAATCCCCGTGGGGAAATTCAGTAGTTTAACAGCAACAGGTTAAGAATGAAAAACAGGACAGAACAGATTCACACAGATTAATACAATTAAAGATAAAAAGAGGGGAGAGAGGGGAGAGGGGAGAGGGGAGAGGGGAGAGGGGAGAGGAGAGAGAGAGAGAGAGAGAGAGAGAGAGAGAGGAGGGAGAGGTTAAATTGTTAAAATTCTGATAATTAATAGAAATGTGATAGTCATGATCAGGACTGATATTGGATACAAATGTAAAATTAAAAAATTAAAAATAGCATCAATAAATCGTTTTTTATAGAAGTTTTTGGAATAGGCATTTCTGACATTTGTTTTTTACCAACATTTTTTTTTCATTTAAAAGTGTGTCACTTCAAAAAGCAATGTTGGTGCTAGTTATTGAAATAATATACAGAACATAATAACATATTTGTGTGTTTCCTCCAACAGACTGTAAATGATGATGAAGATGCTGAAGATGATGAAGATGCTGAGATGCCGTGTAAATCGACAGAAAAGGTTTGAGGTTTGAACGTTTTTTATTCAAAGTAGTAGATTTCTCAACAAACAAATTATCAATGTAGACGGATAGACAACAACAAACATCCCTTAAACTTATACCTATAGATAAGTTTATGTAGTATAATGTGTGTTTGTTACTACAGATAAAACTATGTATAAAACATTCAACAGTTACCTCCTCCCCCGCTGGTGACAGATGTAAGGAGTCGGACATTTTCTAAACGTCAATCAAACACCACGATGGCCCGATGAAATACATTCCTTAATAATTCATAGAAACAGTTCAGCAGGGAGATTCACACCTTGTGTTTCCCTCCTGTTATTCCCTCACAGAATATTAAATCATTTTTAAACAAATGTTCTATAAATCTAGAGCAGAGGTTTTCACTCTGCTCCTTCTTCATGATCTTCTTCTCCATCATCTCCCACACCTAAAGACACACACACACACACACACACACACACACACACACACACACACACACACACACACACACACAAAATGTAATGTTTATGCCATTTTAAATGTTATAAAACAAGTGTTACGACCCCCTCCAAGGCCAACACCATCCCATAATGTGATCTCTCACTCTTCTGTTGCACATTTTCACACACCCATACACACACCTTACTGATAAATGACTTCCACGTCTGTTTAGGTTTGTTCAGACCTTTGGTTTTGTTATATTAAATAAATATGACATTTTGTTACACTTAGACTTGTCTTGTCTCCCTTCTATGAGCCGGGCTGTAAATTCAAGTCATACGCATATGCAAAGAAGTTGTGTTGAAAATATTTTAAAAAAGTCATAGTACAGTTTGTCAAACATATGAAAGAAAGTAATAGTATAGTATGTCAGAGAAAGTATACGGTATAGTATTATTATTTCTTATGTCGGAAAATGTCATATTATGGTTTTTCATCCAATTTAAAAAAAAGTCTGATTTGAAAATTGTAAAAGAAAAGTAAATAGTAAAAAGTTATAATATGAAATTAATTATACTTCATTAGAGTTCATTTAGACAATAGTTACTGTTTCCATTAGTCATGTCTCTGTTTTGTATCTGGTCAACATCAGTGGTTTAGACCTGCAGAGCTCTGCTGCTGCTGCTACCACAGCCACAACAAAACCTCCATCTTGGTTCTCAGAGATGCAAGAAAAACCACCAGGTCTCAGACCACTGTGTGTGCATTCAAACACCATTAGCAAGTCTGTTTTCTGATAAGAATTGATGTAAAAAAAACAATACTGCAAGTATTTATGGAAATGAATAATTCAAAATAGTAATATATAATGCTATATGTACATTCTCTGCACGGTTTTGCTTTAAGCACGTATCTGTTCAGCATCAGAGGGTAAAACCACAGGTTGACCTGGTTAACAACATTCTCAAATCAACTTTTTTTCTTCTTCAGTTCTCAGAAGGGAAATAAAGAAGCAGCAGGTGAGAGACTGTGACAGTCGAGAGCCAGAGACCGAGAGAGAAGCACGATGTCTGAATTCAGAAGGACCATAATGTCTTCATTCCTGATGCTGCTGCTCCACTTTACAGGTGAGGATGCAGAGAACACACTTTAAATAAAACAGCTTTAAAATCACTAATGGTACTTTACTACGTACTGTTCCTTTAACTGAGAGTGATGAGTTGTGTTTGTAACGTGGTGACTTTAGTGACCTCTGTCTTTGTTTTTCAACAGCAGCAAAGTTGAAATATTTCTTCTTGACTGTCAGACCTGGAGATGAAGTCACTTTGCCTTGTGACAATGTGATACATGATCAGGATAAATGTGACAGTACTAGCTGGTACTTTGTTGATTCAAGTAGCTCAACAGCAGTAAAGCTGGTTCATCGTGGGCAGATTGTTAAAGAAGCCAAAGCTCAATCAGACAGACTGAGAGTTACAGAGAAATGTTCTCTGGTTATAAAGAAGGTCACAGACGAGGATGTTGGTTATTACGCATGTAGACAGATCAGATCAGGAGAACAAGAATGTCCAGACTCTGAGGTTGAGCTGACTGTTGTTAACAGTGAGTATTTACATCATAATGTTTTAAAACTGTAACATTGAAACATTACAATAATTGTGATTACAGTGATGAAGTTAATGTTACTCTTGTTGTCTTTCTCTCACAATATCTCCATCTTCAGTGACTGAACATCTGGACAATGATGAGGTGACGTTAAACTGCTCTGTGACGACTTACTTATGGTGTGAACTCACAGTGAAGTGGCTGTTTCAGGGTCAAGATGTGGATAAAGATCACAGAGAGATTAAGACATCACAGTCTTCCTGCTCTGCCTCTGTGACATTTCTGACTTCTCATTTTAGTAACACACCAAGATCTAAGATGTTTACTTGTGTAGTAAGAGATAAGCTCGCAGGAGAAGAGCATCAGTTTCCTTTCATCCCTCAGTCCTCAGGTGAGAACATGTTGAGCTGTTTAAGTTACTTTATACTGATGTGAAATAGCCAGAAGATTCAGATTTGAAAGACAAAGAGATAGAAACCTCTGAGTATATGTAACTCTGAGTATATGTAACTCTTGTAACTTCTCTCTTCCAGGTTGGTGGTGGTGGATCATCGTTGTGATAGTGGGTGTTGCAGCACTCACAATAATCACTGTGGCTGTCATCAGACGGAAGAGGACTCAAGGTGAGGACATTCACACATTATACTTTACAAACAAGAAGCTTTTGATGAACCTGGATTTTAACAGTGGAAGTTAAAATCAACTCTCTGTTTAGGGAATGAAACGCAGACGGATGACAACGTGGTGAGTTTAAACATTTTGTTATTCACTTTTCATTTAGAATTTAACCATCAAAGGTGATCTTACTTTTTTTAAACAGAAAGTAGGAGTTTCTGAGGCAGCAAGATCAAAATGTGATTTAAAAAACAAAATGAGAAACAAAATACCAAATCAACACAACAGTCTCAAAATGACCACAGGGTTAAAGGTCTAATAATGGCAGTATTAATTTGGTCTGTTGCCATTAGTTACAATGCATGGAAGTTGAATACGATGAAACCTGTACAGCAACTAGTATTACATGAAATAGGAGTTAAAGTAGGTCACTTTAGCACTGCATGTTACATTGCAGATGTTATGTTTATTTTACTGCAACAATAATAATTAATAATATTAATACATTTTATTTGTGTAGGCTGATCCTGAAGATGGTGTTTCCTACGCCCCCATCAGCTACACCAGGAAGAGCAGCAGTAAAGCCAGGGTAAGATTTATGTTGGTTATACTGATGATGTTAATAAAGGAAGAAACTATTGTTATGATTTAGAATCTAAGCATTATATAGTTTTAGTGCATGTAAATGGTCTGTAAAGGCATTTTAATGTATAAATTAATATTTGTGCCTGAAACGCCTCCATTGGACTAATTTGTTTACTTCGGGAACATAATGACATCACTATGTAACACCCAAACTTCCTATTGGCTAGCACTCCAACACATTGATTGTCATAGGCTAAGGGGCGGGACATCGCTAAGTGGTTGACCAATCACAACAGAGCCAGCCAGCTAACCAATCAGAGCAGACTGGGCTCTGGTTTCAGACAGAGGGTGAAAAGAGATGCTGCAGCACAGGCAGTATGAGAAAAATAAAGAGCTTTTTGAACATTAAGGCATGGAGACATGTCACAAAATACCAATATGAACCTGAAAATGAGATCAAATATGTCCCCTTTAAGTTGTTAAATGGCTGCAATAAACAGGACTTTCAGAACTCCTTTAACGGGTGTCTCAGTTATGAGTATTTTTCCTTACCTGCAGGCTCATGATGATGATGATGTTGAAGATGATGCAGTGACCTACAGCACTGTGAGAGCTCCCTCCTCTTCCTCTGCTGTCTCCACCGATCCCAGCCTCCTCTACGCCACCGTCAACAAACAGAGAAAGAAACGGATTGTAAGGGCATAGCTAGCACTGTTATAATAAGATGGCTTAGTTGCATCAAATAGAGAGTACGGCAGCAGCTTTATGAAAACATGTGAGTCCCTCTTGAGGTGGATTTTGAAAAAAGGTTCAGACATGTTGGAGATTTACTGTATTCTTAATAATTACACCGTGGGCATAATGAAGGTTTTGTAAAGTCGATTCTGGCTTTTTTATTACTGTTTTTAAAATATATATAATTCAATGGAGTATTGCTTTTCCTTCTGCACATTTGATTGTTTTGTATTTTACTAAATAAAGTGACCTATTAGCCTTACAAGAGTGCAGGTGTATTTATTTGTATGGTGTTTCCTAATATGACATTCTCAAAACATCAGGTAAGTTCTTAAAGTAAGATAAGATAAGATAAGATAAGATAAGATGGACCTTTATTAATCGCCGTGGGGAAATTCAGTAGTTTAACAGCAACAGGTTAAGAATGAAAAACAGGACAGAACAAATTCGCAGATTAATACAATTAAAGATAAAATGAAAGATAAAAAGAGGGAAGTGAGGAGAGAGGTTACATTGTTAAAATTCTGATAATTAATACAAATGTGATAGTCATGATCAGGACTGATATTGGATACAAATGTACAATAAAAAAATTAAAAATAGCATCAATACATCGTTTTTTTATAGAAGTAGGCATTTTTTACCTTTTCTTTTTACAAAAAAATGTTTTTCATTTAAAAGTGTGTCACTTCAAAAAGCAATGTTGGTGCTAGTTATTGAAATAATATACAGAAAATAATACAGACTATAATGAAGATGCTAAGATGCCGTGTAAATCTACAGAAAAGGTTTGAGGTTTGAACGTTTTTTTATTCAAAGTAGTAGTTCTATCTCACACAGGCTCTGCCCTCTACTGGACTCTATGGGTATCTCAATCTCAATCTTTATTTATTTATATAGCACATTTAAAACAACCTTCAGTTGACCAAAGTGCTGTACAGGCAATACATATTAACCTGTTAAGCCCTGAGCCTGTTTTTCAGGTCTCAGGCTCGAAAATGACATTCCCAGAACAAATGACCATATCTTCCCTTCTAAAAGGGTTAAATTAATAATCTTTTTTCTCAAAGTAATGATAAACCTGTGAGTTGGATGTAGAAAAGTCAGAATCAATATAGATGTTTTTTATTTTAAAGAAAATTCAGATTTTACATAGTAAAAAACTAAATTATAGTGTCCGTCCAAAAATCATTTTTTACTTATAGTGAAAACCACCCTTGGATGATGGGTTAGTAGACTAAAAGCTTTAGGAATCCAAAGTACAACATATAATAAGTACCCTGTATCAAGATTGATGCAAAACAAGTGACATTTGACCTTTTTAGAGAGATTTAGCAAAAAGAAACCACTTCTGGGGTCATTTGGGTGGATTTTCCATATCTCTGGACCCCCTTGCTCAATTTTGATGGTTGACACCTCTTTCTGACCGTTAGAGCCAATAGAATCGAAGGGGGAGTCCCCCACACACACGTTGTGAAGAGAAAAGGTGGGGGCTTCGCGCATGTAATTTTGCATCAGAGTGGACCTATCTCTAGCTTTGACATCTGGAAACGGAAAAGCAGTTTTAATGCTTATGGATTATCAGAAATCATTTCAAAGGGACACAGACACATTAGATTAACCTATGGATTAACTTCAGCAGCGTTTTTATCGTTTTAATGCCATTGAAGACCACACTGGAGAGACTACAGAGCCAAGGTAAAAATGTTAGCATTTTTAGCTACCTAGCGTCACCTGTTTTGATGTCCGTTTTTGCTTATAACGTCGCAAATATGTATAATTCAGTGGTAATGTCAGTGTCAATCGATTCTGTGTCACCTCACGATGTGAATCAATGTGTTGGATGTGGTGAAAAGAGAAATAATAAGGTTTTGTGAATGATTTTCGGTGCAGTAAGGTGTTAGCATTTTTTGCTCGTTGCTAATTCAGAGGCTCAGTGTTAGCATTGTGGGTTTTCTTTTGAAAAATAAATAAAAATGATCAGTTAGATGAGTTTCTTCCCGTTACATGGATATAAAACATTCATAGTTTTATTAAACATGATAAAAAGCACAATAACTAAAAACATATTAAAAAAAACATATACAAATGTAAAAATATAATGTTCAACTAGTATTAAAAGCCAGTGCAAAGAGGTGAGTTTTTAGCTAAGATTTAAAAAGTTCAATAGACTCAGCAGTCCGGATATGTACTGGGAGGCTGTTCCACAGTCTGGGAGCTGCAACACTGAAAGCCCTGTCACCTCGGTTTTTTTTCCTGCACCGAGGAACAACCAACATATTTTGCTGAGCTGATCGCAATGCTCTACCTGGAGCATGGCGGTGCAACAACACCTACTACTCTTCATCAATGATACGCGAGCATTCACACACTGAATTTGCATAAACGTTGCTGGCCAATCAGGGCGAGCCTACCTGAATGCGAGCGCAGGCCTCACAGTATATAAGGCAGCTACACCTCCCGACTGTCAACCATTTCTCTTCAGCGAGCGAGCAACACCTGACCAGATAAACAAAAGGAAAAGTAAAGGAAATATCTTAACCCCAGCAGGCAAATGGTGTCGCCACTGCAGGAAACCCGGGCCTGTCCCTCATGCCCGGCTTAATAGCGGGCGCCGATCCCCACCAGCTCTTTTTCGAGTGTCTGGGACCAGACCACGCCGAAGACAAGCTCGAGGTGGTGGACGTGGCAGACCAGGATATGGCCAAGGCGATGCCACCAACGTTCGCCATCCCAGACGTGCGCCATCCCAGACGTGCGGGTTATGGCTCCGTTTGCTGAGGAGGAAGAAGATGACTTCGCCTCATCGGTGTCTGGCACTTCCGGGTCCGGAATCCGCGGAAGTCCACCGCACATGTCTGCCCGTCAGGACTTCCCCCTGGTGATGGCCATGGCGGCAGAACGTGTCGGACTACCACTCTCCCCACCACTGCCGCCGAAGCCGGTCAGCCGGTCAGCCGTTTACGGTCCGGCCCGCTTGGCGCAACCGGCTTTCGTCTCGCCCCCGTTGCCAGATATCTGGCAGTGTGTGGAGGCATCTTGGCAACAGCCACTGAAAACGAGAGCTCCGGTGGCAGGAATGGTAGGTATTCTGAGGGTGCGGGACGCAAGGAGACCTCATATCCCGGCGTGCCCCCCCTCGATGAGAGCCTGGCAACACATCTGCTCCCACAGCCAGCAGGCTGGGCGGAGAACCTCTGCCCCGCTACCACGTATTTTGATAGAATATTACGGCTTGGAGCACAGATGGCCGCGGCTGCAAATAACACGGGTGTGTTGGGCATCTCGCTGATTGCTCCTCCGCAAGATGCCCCCACCTCTGCCGGGTCAGAGCGATTATTTGGACCGCAGCATCGGCCAAATTAATAACCTGATCCATGGTGTGGCAGCCGCTGCTGGCCGGGTGATGTCCCTGGCCACAGTGGGATTACGCCACGACTGGCTGGGACTCCGTGACAGGATGGGGAGGGACCTGCCTAGAGAGAGCTATAGCTGGTGGCTGGCCTCTGACAGAGACCCCGCACATCAACCTTCTAGAGCTACAGGCAGTAGTACTGGTCCAACAGCACTTCAAACCCTTTCTACAGGGAAAACGTGCTGGTGAGGAGCGACAACCGCACCACAGTGGCTTACATCAACAGGCAGGGCGGAGTCAGCTCCGCCGCCTTGTTGAGCGCAGCGGAGAACCTGTGGTTATGGGCCTCAGAGAATGTTTTTATCTCTAAAGGCCCTCCACATTCCGGGACTGGAGAACAGGGGGGCCGGCTTCATGTCAAGAGGCGGGCCCCTGCCAGACGAATGGTGGTTCTCCCTGGCTCGGCAGGACAATCCACCCTTGGGGGTGGACACGTTTGCACACGAGCCATGGCCAAGAAAGCTGCTCTACGCCTTTCCACCGCTGCGTCTCATTCCCCCACTCCTGGAGAGGGTGAGACGAGAACAGTTGTCGGTCATTCTGGTAGCCCCAGGTCGCCGCTCGGCGCCGTGGTACGCAGAAGTCAAGTGACACAAATGATGGTGAGCCAGCCCTGGACCGTTCCTCAGTTCTGGGGGGCGCTGTCTCAGGAATCAGGTGCAATAGGGGTGTTACCCACTCTGGGCCAACCTCTCCAGGCTTGGCTCCTGAGAGGGACAGGCTGAGAAGGGGTGGACTGTCTGACAATGTTATTCAGACTATCCAGGCAGCAAGAGTGGGATCCACCACAGCCTGTTACAGGACGAAGTGGTTGGGATTCCAACGTTGGTGCGAGGAAAGGAGTCTAGAGCCTCTGTCCGGTACATTGGGCTCTATTCTATCCTATTTACATGCTCTACACCTTTCCACCGCTGCGTCTCATTCCCCCACTACTGGAGAGGGTGAGACGAGAACAGTTGTCGGTCATTCTGGTAGCCCCAGGTCGCCGCTTGGCGCCGTGGTACACAGAAGTGACACAAATTATGGTGGGCCAGCCCTGGACCGTTCCTCAGTTCTGGGGGCGATGTCTCAGGTAGCAGGTGCAATAGGGGCGTTACCCACTCTGGGCCAACCTCCTCAGGCTTGGCTCCTGAGAGGGACAGGCTGAGAAGGGGTGGACTGTCTGACAAAGTTATACAGACTATCCAGGCAGCAAGAGCGGGATCCACCACAGCCTGTTACAGGATGAAGTGGTTGGGATTCCTACAGTTACTGGAACTGATGCAGCTGGGCTATTGGTTCACAACCATCGACCTGAAGGACGCTTACTTTCATGTCGAAATTGCTCCAAAAAAGGAAGTATTTGCGTTTTGCCTTCCAGGGGATAGCCTACGACGCAGCACCGTAACCAGTGGCACACTAGGGATAAGTGGAATAAGTGTGCAAAATATTTAAATTGTATTTTCGGATCCTGAACGAGACCGCCGCCAGTGCGCGTCTCCCCGTTACCTGCAGAAGGAAGCCATGCACGCAGCGCAGCCCCGCTCTGTTTAACTCCAGGTGACTTTCTGCCGCTTTCCTCCGTGGTGCAGGGCTGATCGTTTCACCACAGAGGAAAGCACTTCACAAATAGCAGTATCCATAAGGAGCTTTACAAATACCGCAGTTTTTGCGCGGCTGTGTCTTTAGTTGAAAGCCCAGTGGCGATCTGCTCATCTCTCATTGAAATAATATGCTACAAAGGGGCGGACTGGCCATCTGTGTGTTGAACTTTCCTGTCGGCTCCCAGACCGTAGTCGAGGAGGGCAGAAGCAACAAGCTTCAGGTTCAATAACCCACTTTAACTTAAATGACTGGAGAGAGGCGAGCTCTTCTTGAGAGGCCGTTGCATTTATTTAGCTGTTCTTCTGTTTCACAAAATACATCACAGACCTCTGTTTTTCTGCTGCCTCGTTTCACTTCCAGAAACATACACACGCTCGCTCACTCTCGCTCTACCATCCACACACACACATGCACACGCCACACCCCTCTCTCTCTCTCTTAAAGGGACAGCGATCTCATCTCACTCTGCATGACCCTAATATCATAACATGTGTGTTCTGGAGAATCACAGAACGGACGATCGTCCTTATTATTATGCCGTTTAAACCAATTATTTAAATGTGTTTGTTAAATTCGGTATCATGTAAGTTGTGAGGCCCCCCCGCCCTCCTGTTGATAGTTCACGAGCGTCAAGCTCCTCAAAAAAATTGCAATAAATTCCTTCATAATTCATAGAAACAGGTCAACAGGGGGATTCAAATCATTTTTTAACAAATGTTCTGAAACTCTAGAGCAGAGGTTTTCACTCTTCTCCTTCTCCATGATCTTCTTCTCCATCATCTCCCACACCTAAAGACACACACGCACACGACAATCTGCTGCTGACTTCAAACTGTGCATATTTAGAACCATGACAATTCATCAGCAGAGACACAAGAACATCTATATGCTCTGACACATCGGCACCGCTTCAGTTTCAGCCGTCAGGGCACAGATCCATTTTGCATCTTCAGAAAGTTGTGTATCTGCAGCGTGTTTATTAAAAGACTTTAACCGTTATGCCTCACTAAAGACGTTTGTGTCTTTTTAAAGGACCAAAGATTCATAAGTGCAGTGTGCAGAGCATGACAATAACTCAGATACAACTTGTTAGTTTTATTAAGCATTTCAGAACAACATGCAGGTACATATGTTCAAAAGTAATTAATTATACTGCATTAGAGTTCATTTAGTCAATAGTTACTGTTTCCATTACTCAAGTCTCTGTTTTGTATCTGGTCAACATCATTGGTTTAGACCTGCAGAGCTCTGCTGCTGCTGCTACCACAGCCACAGCAACACCTCCATCTTAGTTCTCAGAGGTGCAATTCACATAGACAAACCACCAGGTCTCAGACCACTGTGTGTGCATTCAAACACCATTAGCAAGTCTGTTTTCTGATTAAAATGATATAAAAAAAACAATACTACAAGTATTTATGAAAAGGAATAGTTCATAATAGTAATAATACACCAACAACTACATAATATATAATGCTATATGTACATTCTCTGCACGGTTTGGCTTTAAGAACTTACCTTATCTGCTCAACATCAGAGGGCAAAACCTCCAGAGCTCTGCTGCCGCTGTTGACCACATCCTCACAGAAACACTTCTTCAGTTCTCAGAAGAGAAATAAAGAAGCAGCAGGTGAGAGACTCTGACAGTCGAGAGCCAGAGACCGAGAGAGAAGCACGATGTCTGAATTCAGAAGGATCATAATGTCTTCATTCCTGATGCTGCTGCTCCACTTTCCAGGTGAGGATGCAGAGAACACACTTTAAATAAAACAGATTTAATATCACTAATGGTACTTTACTACGTACTGTTCCTTTAACTGAGAATGATGAGTTCTGTTTGTAACGTGGTGAGTTTAGTGAACTCTCAGAAACCAGAGATATATTTAGAAACTTCTGTATTTGCTGTATAATGATCATCATTCTGACTATAAACACTACAGTTGTTTTCATATTTCTTTCCGTCTTTGTTTCTCGAACAGCTGCAGATGGGAAAGATTACTCCCGCATTGTCAGAGTTGGAGATGAAGTCACTTTGCCTTGTGACAATGTGAATTACTATCAGGATAATTGTGAGAATACTACCTGGCTCTTCAGTGAAACAACAGCATTGGTGACGCTGTTTGAAAACGGAAATATTTTCAAAGAAGCCAAAGCTAAATCAGACAGACTGAGAGTTACAGAGAAATGTTCTCTGGTTATAAAGAACGTCACAGAGGAGGATGCTAGTAGTTACACCTGCAGACAGTTCAGCACATCAGGAAAACCACAAGGTCCAGACTCTCCTGTTTATCTGTCTGTTGTTAACAGTGAGTATTTACATCATAATGTGTTCAAACTGTCTTGGTTAAACAATACACTGAAACATTATAATAATTATGATTACAGTGATGAAGTTAATGTTACTCTTGTTGTCTTTCTCCCACAATATCTCCATCTTCAGTGACTGAACATCAGGACAATGATGAGGTGACGTTACGCTGCTCTTTGAAGACATATGGAGGGTGTATACACCCAGTGAAGTGGCTGCTTCAGGGTCAAGATGTGGATAAAGATCACAGAGAGATGAATACATCACAGTCTTCCTGCTCTGCCTCTGTGACATTTCTGACTTCTCTTTTTAGTAACACAGAAAGGTCTGAGTTGTTTACTTGTGAAGTAAGAGATGGTTACACAATAAAAGTACATCTGTTTCTCTTCAGCCCTCAGTCCTCAGGTGAGAACATGATGAGATGTTTAAGTTATTTCAATCTGACATGAATAATCACCTTACATATTTGTTTGTTTTACAGAAGTTGCAGACTAAATAATTTGTTGAGTTGTGTTTATTTTTACACAACACCAGGAACAACAACACCAACGCCAACAACAAAAACAACAACCACAACAGCTAAAAACAACTTAAACTCAGGTAAGGTCTAATGTATTTACTTGTAAAGTGTTTGATGGTTACAGAACCTCAGCTGTTTCTCTTCAGTCCTCAGGTGAAAATACATGTTGTTGATTCAGAGTTTAAGGACAGAGAGATGAAAACCTCTGAGTATATGTAACTCTTGTAACTTCTCTCTTCCAGGTCGGTGGAGGATCATCGTTGTGATCGTGGGTGTTGCAGCACTCACAATAATCACTGTGGCTGTCATCAGTCGGAAGAGGACTCAAGGTGAGGAAATTCACACATTATACTTTACAAACAACAAGCTTTTGATGAACCTGGATTTTAACTGTGGAAGATAAAATCAACTCTCTTTTTAATTCTGTTTAGGGAATGAAACGCAGACAGATGACAACGTGGTGAGTTTAAACATTTTGTTATTCACTTTTCGTTTTGAATTGAAGCATCAAAGTTGATCTTACCTTTTTTAAACAGAAAGTAGGAGTTTCTGAGGCAGCAAGATCAAAATGTGATTTAAAAAACAAAATGAGAAACAAAATACCAAATCAACACAACAGCCTCAAAATGAACACAGGGTTAAAGGTGTAATAATGGCAGTATTAATTTGGTCTGTTGCCATTAGTTACAATGCATGGATGTTGAATACGATGAAACCTGTACAGCAACTAGAATGAATTGAATTAGGAATAAAAGTAGGTCACTTTAACGCTGCATGTTACATTGCAGATTGTATGTTTATTTCACTGCAACAATAATAATTAATAATATTAATATATTTTATTTGTTAAGTCTGAACCTGAAGATGGTGTTTCCCACACCTCCATCAGCTACACCAGGACGAGCAGCAGGAAAGCCAGGGTATATGGCAAGCCATTTGAGTATTTATTCCATATCCTTGATATCACACGGCAGCTGCCTACACTAGTTGGCTCTTTGATTTCACTTGTTAGATATATGGTCAAACTAGTTTGGCAATCTACTTTAACTGAAGTTATGAGAAAACCGTGTTTCATGGTGAGCATTGTGTTGCCATGGACCGTAGATGTCTTCACGGCTGGACTGTTAGCACACATGTGAAGTTTGAGCATTTTTTGATCATTTTCATAGGAGTTATAGCGACATCGTCTTTTATGGCGAGGGATGCGTTTCCATGGAAACGGCATATGATGACACCTCATAATTGACGTAGAGCTGTTGAGGGCAGGACCATTAACCATTATCTGAAGTCTGCTGCTCTGAGCATGTCAGTTGGAGTTATGACATCATTGTGTTCCATGACACAGGTGTTTATATTTGAGCTAACGAGGTCTCGTCCAGAGATCAAAGGTTTCCATTGTTCTGAATGAGAGATAAACCTGTTACATGTGAACGTTTTGTTGAAGAACCGTAACAGATATCGGTGAAATTTCAAAGCGTGAAGCATGTCAAGGAACTTGAGCATCTGAAGTGTACTTTTTGTGTACTTTCGGGTTAATAATGTGGCCTTTTTGGCAGATGAACTAAAGGTGTGCGGCTGCTGTGGTGGGGAAAGGTGAGGCTGAACTTACAATGGGCTTTAATGGAGACATGTTGAAAGTTTTTGTCACTTCATGCCCTCGAGAGGCATTTTGTTTAATTATTTTGCTTAATTGTTTTTATCTTTCAAGCTACGAGATGTTTTCCTACGTTTGTCATAAAAAATTATGTCTCAGGAATGTAGGGTTTGGGAATTATGGCAGGTTTAAAAGAAAATATGAAGGCAAAATTAAATCTGTCCTCCACTCTAGCTGTGACATCACGCACTCTAAAATCTGAAGAAGGTCTCTTTACCAAAGTCTGAACAATGTTTAATATCTCTAAAAGTACGAATCAGATTTAAAAGTTATGTTACACGAATAATGTCAGAAAGATGTGTATTTTAAAGTTGGAATGAGGTTTCTGAGTGAAAGTATGAAGGAACAGTAAGCAGTTGAAGTTGCATGAAGATTGTTGAAGTCTGAAGAGTTTCTCCATTGACCTCCATGTTAAAAATGTGATGTATTATGGGATGTATCTCTGGAATTATTAAAGTTATGAATGACAAAAGTAATAGCCATCGATTGCCGACTGAGCTGAACGTTTTGATGTTTGAACGGAGTTTCTGCGATGTTCAATGTGGGAGGAGAAGTCGCGCAAAATAACCCGGCGGAATGATAAAGAATTTCGTGCGTAGCATAACATATAGTGGGAATGCTGTGTCAGCATTCCCACTGAATTAATATTTGTGCCTGAAACGCCTCCATTGGACTCCTTGGTTTACTTCTGGAACATGACATCACTATGTAACACCCATACTCCTATTGGCTAGCACTCCAACACATTGATCGTTATTGGCTAAGGGGCGGGACATCTCCAAGCGATAGACCAATCACAACAGAGCCGGCCATCCAACCAATCAGAGCAGACTGGGTTCTGGTTTCAGACAGAGGGTGAAGAGACGTGCTGCAGCACAGGCAGTATGAGACCATTAAAGAGCTTTTTGAACATTAAAGCATGGAGACATGTCACAGTAGAGACACTACATACTGATATACACCTGAACATCAGCAGGAGAGGACTCTTTAAAGTAGAGACACTACATACTGATATACACCTGAACATCAGCAGGAGAGGACTCTTTAAAGTAGAGACACTACATACTGATATACACCTGAACATCAGCAGGAGAGGACTCTTTAAAGTAGAGACACTACATACTGATATACACCTGAACATCAGCAGGAGAGGACTCATTAAAGTAGAGAGACACTACATACTGATATACACCTGAACATCAGCAGGAGAGGACTCTTTAAAGTAGAGACACTACATACTGATATACACCTGAACATCAGCAGGAGAGGACTCTTTAAAGTAGAGACACTACATACTGATATACACCTGAACATCAGCAGGAGAGGACTCTTTATAGTAGAGACACTACATACTGATATACACCTGAACATCAGCAGGAGAGGACTCTTTAAAGTAGAGACACTACATACTGATATACACCTGAACATCAGCAGGAGAGGACTCTTTATAGTAGAGACACTACATACTGATATACACCTGAACATCAGCAGGAGAGGAAACTTTAAAGTAGAGACACCACATACTGATATACACCTGAACATCAGCAGGAGAGGACTCTTTAAAGTAGAGACACTATATACTGATATACACCTGAACATCAGCAGGAGAGGACTCTTTAAAGTAGAGACACTACATACTGATGTACACCTGAACATCAGCAGGAGAGTACTCTTTAAAGTAGAGACACTACATACTGATATACACCTGAACATCAGCAGGAGAGGACTCTTTCAAGTAGAGACACTACATACTGATATACACCTGAACATCAGCAGGAGAGGACTCTTTCAAGTAGAGACACTACATACTGATATACACCTGAACATCAGCAGGAGAGGACTCTTTCAAGTAGAGACACTACATACTGATATACACCTGAACTTTCTGTAGAATCCCTTTTCTTTCCCTGCAGGCTCATGATGATGAAGATGATGATGATGAAGATGATGCAGTGACCTACAGCACTGTGGGAGCTCCCTCCTCTTCCTCTCCAGCCTCCGCTGATCCCAGCCTCCTCTACGCCACCGTCAACAAATCAAAAAATGTATGAATGTATAACTTAACATTTGTGCCTGAAACGCCTCCATTAGACTCCTTTGTTTACTTCTGGAACATAATGACATCACTATGTCACACCCAAACTCCTATTGGCTAGCACTCCAACACATTGATCGTTATTGGCTAAGGGGCGGGACATCTTCAAGCGGTAGACCAATCACAACAGAGCCGGCCAGCCAACCAATCAAAGCAGACTGGGCTCTGGTGAGAGGTGCTGCAGCACAGGCAGTATGAGACAAATAAAGAGCTTTTTGAACATTAAAGATTGGAGACATGTCACAGTAGAGACACTACATACTGATATACACCTTAACATCAGCAGGAGAGGACTCTTTAAAGTAGAGACACTACATACTGATATACACCTGAACATCAGCAGGAGAGGACTCTTTAAAGTAGAGACACTACATACTGAAATACACCTGAACATCAGCAGGAGAGGACTCTTTAAAGTAGAGACACTACATACTGATATACACCTGAACATCAGCAGGAGAGGACTCTTTATAGTAGAGACACTACATACTGATATACACCTGAACATCAGCAGGAGAGGACTCTTTAAAGTAGAGACACCACATACTGATATACACCTGAACATCAGCAGGAGAGGACTCTTTAAAGTAGAGACACTACATACTGATATACACCTGCACATCAGCAGGAGAGGACTCTTTAAAGTAGAGACACTATATACTGATATACACCTGAACATCAGCAGGAGAGGACTCTTTAAAGTAGAGACACTACATACTGATGTACACCTGAACATCAGCAGGAGAGTACTCTTTAAAGTAGAGACACTACATACTGATATACACCTGAACATCAGCAGGAGAGGACTCTTTAAAGTAGAGACACTACATACTGATATACACCTGAACTTTCTGTATAATCCCTTTTCTTTGCCTGCAGGCTCATGATGATGAAGATGATGATGATGGTGATGAAGATGAAGCAGTGACCTACAGCACTGTGAGAGCTCCCTCCTCTTCCTCTGCTGCCTCCGCTGATCCCAGCCTCCTCTACGCGACCGTCAACAAACCAAAAGAATAATACAGTTTAATGCTGTATTTTAAACTATGGCACAATTGTTATAACCATATTACAAAGGCAAAGCGAGCAGAGTTACAATAAGAATTATATTGACCAGGTTTTTGCTTTGTTTGGCTTAAATACATCTAAGTGAGAGTACAGCAAAACATGTGAGTCCCTCTAGAGGTGGATCGTGAAAAGGGGCAGACATGTTGGAGATTTACTGTATTCTTAATACTTACAGTGTGGGCATAATGAAGGTTTTATTAAATTGATTCTGGCTTTTTTATTACTGTTTTAAAGAGTATTGCTTTCTCTTCTGCACATTTGATTGTTTTGTATTTTACTAAATAAAGTCACCTATTAATCTTTCAAGAGTGCATGTGTATTTCCTTGTATGGTTTTTACTAATATGACATTCTCAAAACATCAGGTAAGTTCTTAAAGTAAGATAAGATAAGCAACAGGGTCAGAATGAAAAACAAGACAGATTCACACAGATTAATACAATTAAAGATCAAATCAAAGATAAAAAGAGAGGAGAGGGGGAGTGGTTAAATTGTTGAAATTCTGATAATTAATACAAATGTGATAGTCATGTTCAGGACTGATTTTGGATCAAATGTAAAATAAAAAAATTAATAATAGCATCAATAAATTGTTTTTTATAGAAGTTTTTGGAATAGGCATTTCTGACCTTTTCATAACAAAAAATAGATTTTCATTGAAAAGTGTGTCACTTCAAAAAGCAATGTTGGTGCTAGTTATTGAAATAATATACAGAACATAATAACATATTTGTGTGTTTCCTCCAACAACATACTGTAAATGAAAATGATGATGAAGATGCTGAGATGCCGTGGAAATCGACAGAAATGTTAGTTATTGAGGTTTGAACGTTTTTTATTCAAAGTAGTAGATTTCTCAACAAACAAATGATCAATGTAGATGGATAGACAACAAGAAACATCCCTTAAACTTCCTGAAGCTTCAGCGCACGCTGCCGTGTGGACGGGCTGTAAGGCTGCAAATACAAAAATGTAACAAAGAAAAGACAATAAGGTGCATTGTAAAAATATATACACAATCAGGTTCAATCTGTATACTTAATAACCTTTATAGACCTACTTTAGGTTTGTACACCCCTATTTTAAGATAATATGATAATACTTTATTTATCTTCAGGGGTTGAATTGTTGAATATAGGATTTTTAGAATAAGTCAATCAAGTATTTCACAGTGATTTTGCCTACAATTCTTCTCACACATTAACAAAAAGTCTAACAAAAAAGTGTATGTTATCAAAACAGCTGGATGTGTGTGTAAGCGTGCGTGTGTGCGTGCGTGCATGCGTGCGCGCGCGTGTGTGTGTGTGAGACCTCCACACTGCAGCACATTTCCTCCATCTCAGAGATGAGTCTGGATTTGATCGTTGTTGGCCACCAACATGGCGATGCTGTCGCTCAGGTCCGTCTGCAAACATCCACAACATCACCGACATTCCTCTGAAAATAAATTAATTTTAAAAAATGTGTCACTTAGTATTCCCTTAAATGTAATGCAGTTGTTTTGACTTTATCAATAAATGACATTGAATGCATTTTGTCTTCACATTTGCATATGTTTTTTCTTTGAGTCGTGTTGGTGATTTGTGATTTATAAAACCTTTTCCCTTATCCAAAACCTTTTTCCCACCAATTGTAATTGTAAACACTCCCATATACTTAATTAAATGGTAACCCGGGATTCCTGATATGTCGCAGCTACAGTTTCTCTTTCAGAAATGATGGTAATATATTCTTCCTCCTTAAGAGAATTCCTATTATTACCGGACTTTTTGGGGGGGTTTTATTCTCAAATCAAGACATCCTTCGACCAATCAGACTCATTGCTTGACTTTATATGTATTTCTATGCAGATTGAGACGTCTTTTATTTTATTGAACACACAAATGTAGAAGATTTAGTGCCGTATGGGCAGAGGAATGCACCATAAGTACTTTCAAGAGTAACCCTCAAACACAATACCCTGAGTCGCCATCATGCATCTGTTAGGAGAATCATTTTAATACTTTGTTATAACTTTAGCGTCATTAAAAGTGTCAGGAACAGACGTACTAATTTAATCGTTTATTTAGCAGGGACAATGCACGGTAATGAACACTACAACATTAAAATGCGTCAAGCGTAACAGTGCCAGATTTTGCTTTGAGCTAGTTTCCATCCACATCCTCTCTGAAGGCCACAAATTAAATTAAAGCAGCAACTTTTATTTTCCACATTAACCTTTGCATGAAGATGGAGGGTGAATCTCAGATGAGTGAATCAGAGACAGAGTGAGAGATCGAGAGGCCGACTGCTCCATAACAAACATGCTGCTGACGCTGCATCACTAAACCGCTGCACTCTGTCTCTGTGCGACCAATAATCAGTAAGTAATGTGGTATATTTCATGCATAAGTTATTAAAACAAACGTCTGGTATCTCCATGAATGCCCTTTAAGGCGTGTGCTGTTTCCAGTGTTTACAGACAGTATTTATTTGCAGTGGATCAAAGTACCTATAGTTCATTTATTCAAGTATAATCAAAGTATATTTCTTAGGTTTTTCCATGTTATGCTATGTTCCACTTCTACTCCACAGCATTTTAAGAGGAAAAAAAGTGTATTTTTATTACACAAAGTTAAGAAAGAAAATCCGATTACATGAATATTCAGTGAATCTTTGTTTTTCTACAACAGAAAAATTATGTTTGATGCAGAAATATTAACAATATGAAAATACTACAACATAGAGAATCATTCATAGAAAAATTAGGCACATTTGTTCTACTTTTACTTTAGGTAGTTAAAGAACATATAGCTGATAACCCTTCTTGACTTTTTCTTAAATTAGATTTTATATGCAATGCAGGATTTTTTATATTCATGTATTAGAATGATTTGATACTTCTTCCACCACTGTTTATCTGCTTGCATTTGCAGTGGGTGTATATCAAAGTGCATCCTGGGAAATGAAGTTTTAAAAATAGAAACAGCTTGTAAGATGAAGGCTATCATCTGTTTTACTGTATACACATCTAACAGTGTTTACACAACTTCGAAATGTAAGGTTTAAAGTTAAGGTCACTATTTTCATTCTTAAATTCTGAATGGAAGTCATTTGGAGTGATACGATGAGACGTGGAGAACAAAGAGAAGCGTATTAAAGATTGTGAAGCTGTGAGTGACTGGTTATAAAATGACATGGCAATAAACCCTATTTAATTTAGTCTTAAATTACATTATTTAATTTCATATGCTGTTCTTGTACATATCATATTCTAATGACATGTATATGGACTTTTTCCACTACTTTTTATCTTGTATTTTTGTATTTTATGATATATGTTGCATTGTTGGAGGAGCTCAGGTCAGAAGAATTTAATTGCCATTTCTACACAGTAGCTTTGAATCTTTTGAAACATGTAGTCATGATAAAAGCTTACCTTCTGCCTCAGGTAGACGCTGCTGAGCGGAGCCACGTCGCACGCTTTGTGTTTCCCAAACACTTTGCACATGGAGCAGGTGGGCGTCTCACAGGAGAGGCAGTAGATGTTGATCCTCTCCTCTTTGTGATCCTCACACAGGAGCTGCTTCCCTACAGAGGGAGCATGCCCCCGGACGCTCCTGCAGGATGTTAGGTCCCCCCCCATCATTTTAATGGTACTTTTATTTAAACAGTGAGAGTAAGAATATCAAAAAGAAAATCCAGAATTTAACATTATATCAAAGATAATATATATAAGATTCGTAATGTAATGATGGCTTTATTATTACATTTCAATTGTCTGATTATGGCTTTACATGGCATACATGTTATAGAATCTCTAGTCTTGTCGTTAACAAACTTCTGAGTCTCTAATATGTTGTGTTTGTGACAGCTTGTGTGTGAAAACCACTAAGACTGCAAGACTGCCACCAGGTGTCAGTGTTTCCTCTGCTGACTAATATTCACAGGACATGACAGTAGAGGTCATATAGTAGTGCCTTTGAGGTTGGAGACAATGTGTGGAATCTGAAGACAGGATCACAAGAGGGTAAGAGCGCAGACATCTCAGATCTGTGAAAAGGATGTCGAGTTAAAAAAGTTAATAAAAATACACCCTCGCAAAGTAACATATTTACACAGAAAGCTGACAGTGGGTATTTTCCATGTTAAAAGTCCCTTAAGCACAGTGTGATGAGAGGCTGGTGGGGGGATGGTTGATGGGTATTTTTCACTAAGAGAGGGGGGGAAGAGATTGCCGTTTCCCTTTGCGTAGCAGAGAGCAGCCCCACCCGTCTTCTGAGCGCCTGCTCTCCCCCATTATGGCTGTGCAGATATTCATGTCATGTTCCTCACCTCAGCCTCCCGACTCTCTCCCCCTTTCCTTTTTGGATCTGACTAATGATCTGCCTGCACTCTTACGTTCCATTTAACTTCACTGGCATTACAATTCATGGTGTTTAAGGTTTACAAATGAAGTTAAAAGAAATGAAGAATGTTAATTTTACACCGATACAACATACAACCTCTTCACCCTTGTACATGTTTAAAATTGACAGCACACATGTCTACCAAATATATATTTGAAATCAAGAAAAGGATTTGACTTAATCGACTGCTGTAAGTGTTTTAAAATGATGGAGGAGGACCAAATAAAAACTAATTAAAGGAAGGACATCACAAATTCTGGAATGACTGGCAGTTTTGAGTAAACGTCAAAAAAAACGTTTACAGAGAATAAAAAAGTTGCTGTATGATTTCAACCTGGTTGAATATATGCATTTTGGCTTAAAGTACTATTTATACTTAAAAATCCCCTTTAGACATGTGTGTGTGTGTGTGTGTGTGTGTGTGTGTGTGTGTGTGTGTGTGTGTGTGTGTGTGTGTGTGTGTGTGTGTGTGTGTTATACATTTCTGCTTTTTGTCATAATGCTGATGTGGCCCGCGATTAAATTTAGTTTGACACAAGGGGAAAGTGCAGCCGTGAGTATAATAGGAAACCCCCCTATTATGTGTGTGTGTGTGTGTGTGTTGTGTGTGTTATACATTTCTGCTTTTTTCCTTCTTGCACCACAATTCCCTCTCAATGACCTTCCAAGAAAACGGTCCCCTGTCAGGGTGTGTGAATTCCACAGAGCTGATAAAAACACTTTACTGCAACTTAAGCGTTCACCTTCCCAGAAACACAAAGGTTAAACATAAGGAAATTGTATTAAAGATAAAGACATTTAGTTCTGTTTTTCAGTTCCTGTTTGTGCCAAATCGAGCAAAATTCACTTCAGGTGTTCCCGAGACATTTTGACCACCTGAAGATACAAAAAACGTTTTAGACCGTGTGGAAGCATG